GAGACTTCTGATAATCAAAGAAAACTCAGTATCTGATATTATGGCATGTTGGTTTCATTTATATTGGCTGGAACTTCTGTCTAAGATCTAGCTGATAAAATGAGATTGAAATTACTCATCTCCGTGAAGAAACAGTGAATGTGCATCGCTAGAATATCTCTCTGGTTGCAACTTCTGTGTTGATAGCGGATAAGATATTTATATTTTTTCTTTGGGCTCGTCATAGCTTTGTTTCTCCTGTGATATCTCCATCATCATCATCACCAGTACACGGTTTACAGATGGATTGTGTATCTTTTTTTAATATTTTTGAATGCACATTTATATTATCAGGAAGAAATGGAAACTGCATTTACATACACATTTAGTTGGATTATTGATTATCAAACTTTCAGGGGATTTTCATTTTTGTGGCAATAAAGATAAATACTTACTTTAAAAAACAGTGGAGCTTAGACATTAGTTTGCTTGAAACACCTGCCATGATCCTAGATTATTGGTGGATGCTACTTTGTTTTCAATGTAATTTTCCCATAAGATATTGTCATAAGATTTAATTGACTAAATTTAAAAAGTGTTTAAATTTTGGTCATTCTCATTTATCTCATAAATGAACCATAAAAGAAGCACTTGTCATTGGGTGATGTTCAATGTATGTTTAAGGCCGGTATTTCCTGCTGGCAGAGGTTTCAAAACAAATACTGGCTGGGCTTTTTAAGAGTCAAATTTGAATCAATTTGGACATTTTTTTTTCAAATGTAAATTACATTGCAAAAATATATTTGATAAATTATTGCTCATAAAAGATTTAACCTTTTATGATTTTGATATCCCAATAAGTCATCATAAACCACTTTTTGACTTGTAAATGGTTGTGGATTTTTATTAATGGGAAACATATATTAAGGAATGTATCCTGTATTTTGGATCAGAAAAAGACTACTCATGGCTATGTGCCCTGTATGTCATATTTTATCTTTTTATAGTTTGCTTTAATGGATTGGGTTTTTGAGTTGTGGATAGTGTGCTTGTGTGGCAAGCATACTTTTTTCTGTTCTGATGCTTGTTTTTCTAACATTATACAGCTTAATGTATAAAAAAGTCAATAAGAAATCTGTAAATTAATGTGACATAGGGTTGCTTTTTTTATTTACAGTAATTTTTTGTATCTCAAGCAATATTTATATATTTTTTGTAAAGAACATAACTGCGTCGGATGACATTTACAGTTTCTTAATTTATCTGAGTCATACGGTCATACAATTAGGGGCATGTTGTCTCTAGTAAATCTACATTCTGGGCAATCTAGGAATCTTGATAAACTAATGGTAAGGTAACATCAGTTGTAAGGGACATACTTTATTATTTGTCTCTCTCTCTCTCTCTCTCTCTCTCTCTCTCTCCTCTCTCTCTCTCTCTCTCTCTCTCTCTCTCTCTCTCTCTCTCTCTCTCTCTCTCTCTCTCTCTCTCTCTCTCTCTCTCTCTCTCTCTCTCTCTCCTCTCTCTCTCTCCTCTCTCTCTCTCTCTCTCTCTCTTCTCTCTCTCTCTCTCTCCTCTCTCTCTCTTCTCTCTCTCTCTCTTCTCTCTCTCTCTCTCTCTCTCTCTCTCCTCTCTCTCTCTCTCTCTCCTCTCTCTCTCTCCTCTCTCTCTCTCTCTCTCTCTCTCTCTCTCCTCTCTCTCTCTCTCTCTCTCTCTCTCTCTCTCTCTCTCTCTCTCTCTCTCTCTCTCTCTCTCTCTCTCTCTCTCTCTCTCTCTCTCTCTCTCTTCTCTCTCTCTCTCTCTCTCTCTCTCTCTCTCTCCTTCTCTCTCCTCTCTCTCTCTCTCTCTCTCTCTCTCTCTCTCCTCTCTCTCTCTCTCTCTCTCTCTCTCTCTCTCTCTCTCTCTCTCTCTCTCTCTCTTCTCTCTCTCTCTCTCTCTCTCTCTCTCTCTCTCTCTCTCTCTCTCTTCTCTCTCTCCTCTCTTCTCTCTCTCTTCTTTCTCTCTCTCCTCTCTCTCTCTCTCTCCTCTCTCTCTCTCTCCTCTCCTCTCTCTCTCTCTTCTCTCTCTCTCTCTCTCTCTCTCTCTCTCTTCTCTCTCTTCTCTCTCTCTCTTCTCTCCTCTCTCTCTCTCTCTCTCTCTGCCTCTGTCTATCTTTGTCTCTGTCCTGTTTCTGTCTGTCTCTCTCTGTCTCTCGTCTCTCTCTGTTCTCTCTGTCTGTCTCTCTCTCTCTCTCTCTCTCTCTTCCTCTCTCTCTCTCTCTCTCTCTCTCTCCTCTCTCTCTCTCTCTCTCTCTCTCTCTCTCTCTTCTCTCTCTCTCTCCTCTTCTCTCTCTCTCTCTCTCTTCTCTTACTTTTATTTGAGTATATATTTTCTTATGTGTTTGTAGGTATTGGATAATTAAAAGGAAAATGCTTGTATATGAAATCAAAGATAAAAGGTATATGTAGTCATAGTAGCATTTATTCAGAAAAGATGTGATAGTATTCCCAAAAAAATCACTTCATACATTTGAATTTCTGTACTCTCTCTGTCTGTCTCTGTCTTTGCTCTCTCTCTCTCTCTCTCTCTTCTCTCTCTCTCTCTCTCTCTTCTCTCTCTCTCTCTCTCTCTCTCTCTCCTCTCTCTCTCTCCCTCTTCTCTCTCTCTCTCTCTCTCTCTCTCTCTTCTCTCTCTCTCCTCTCTCTCTCTCTCTCTCTCTCTCTCTCTCTCTCTCTCTCTCTCTCTCTCTCTCTCTCTCTCTCTCTCTCTCTCTCTCTCTCTCTCTCTCTCTCTCTCTCTCTCTCTCTCTCTCTCTCTCTCTCTCTCTCTCTCTCTCTCTCTCTCTCTCTCTCTCTCTCTCTCTCTCTCTCTCTTCTCTCTCTCTCTCTCTCTCTCTCTCTCTCTCTCTCTCTCTCTTCTCTCTCTCTCTCTCTCTCTCTCTCTCTCTCTCTCTCTCTCTCTCTCTCTCTCTCTCTCTCTCTCTCTCTCTCTCTCTCTCTCTCTCTCTCTCTCTCTCGACAGAGAGCTATTCTCTTCCATATCCCTATACCTCTTCAGATCCACCTGGGCCTTCCTTCATATGTCTGGATAGCTTATCTACTTACCCAATCCTCCCTCTATCCTACATCTAAGCCATGAGAGACTGCACCCAATAGCTCATCACCTAACCCATCCCTTCAGTGTAATTATGCCTCTTGCAACTGTCTTCTATTGTTTTTATACACTTATATACATATTTATGTACATGATTTTCTACTGTATGAAGTATATTCCAACTAGAACACAAGGGTAACTTTTTCAACCTTGATGATGTTCTGCAAGCTATTTGATGCACCAGCATGGGATATATTTTCTGGTGTTCTGATCTCTCTAACTATTAGAAATAAAAATTTGGCAGGGGGAAAGGTATGCAAAGGAAGAGCAATCGTGTGGATTTTTTTTTAGGAAAGTGGAATTATGATAGTGGTAACTAGAATAGAAAGGAAGATTTTTTTTTTTTTTTTGCATATATGAATGCTGAACAAAGGGATTTTCAAGATCTTATATGTATGTGTCCTTCTATTGATTGATGTTTACACAGAAGTATGTAGTGTACCGTGGATCATATCACATCTCCTTTTGGTTTCCATTTTAACCTTGTAGTTGATACAAATCAGTAAAAGAGTCACAGAAACCATTTGTCCTTAGTATATACTCTTATTCTTTTTATTTGTAATACACACAAGTTCAGTAGCATTAACCTACACTACAAATGGAACAGCACAGATCTGTACGGGACAGGACTCCATCACTTGTATATTTTTGCAAATGGAAAAGAAAGTTTAGTATTGCACCCTTGCTAGTGTATGTATGCATGTATGTAAAGCCTCACCTGCATAATAGTATTGATAGAATAGAATTCCACTTGTAGAGCTGGAAAGTTACTGTGCACTTCTTCAGTGTTTGTCTAATAGATTATGTTATAATTACACATCAAGTTAATTATACTTTAAAGTGTGGTATGTCAGACATTTTAAAAGAGAGAAGGAAATTTACTAGTTTTTGATGGGATAGCAACACAGCTATTTTTTTTTTTGTTTTCTTTAGACATATCAGTTTCAGAAATGTAGATGCTCACCATCTAGGATGCCAAACAAATATGATGTAAAATATCCTTTTGAACTGATAAGTGTGGAAAGGAAGTAATAAAAACCAAAGAGAATATTACATGATGAGTTCATACCTTGTATAATTGATATCGCATAGAAAGGAAAACATGAAGATAAAGAAATCAGCTGTAGATAACATTTTGATAGGCCTTTTGTATTGATACAAGGAATTCAGTTTTTATATTCAACATATTTACATGAAGAGTTCATACCTTGTATAATTAATATTGCATTGAAAGGAAGACATGAAGATAATGAAATCAGTTGTAGATAACATTTTGATAGGCCTTTTGTATTGATACAAGGATTTCAGTTTTTATAATTAACATATTTGTGCAAATTTAGTAATGTACATTACCTAATGAAATAAGAATTTTGATAAGTGTAGTTTATGCTAATGAAAATCTGGAAATTTATTAGATATTAGGTCAGATTATGTAGATTATACACATGAGGTTTGTATTTAAAGTAGGAGCCAAGTTGAATCTTTTTATTTCTCTTTTTCATTTATTTATTTACTTATTTATTCTTTGAAAGAACAAGGATAATAAGAAAATGCATGATTAATGGGGTATACCACACTGCAAACTTTGCCTCTTCCTATTCAAGTTAGGGGACTAATCTCCACTTTTCTCTTAATCTTGGTATCTAAGCATATTGGTAGGGTAAAATGTACTGACATATGCTATTTAGTTTTCCCTTTTTTCCTTCTCTTTATTTTTTCTTTTGTGAAGTAAAAAAAAATGAATGTTGCCTTTTCTTCTTCTTCTTCACATTTTCTATTTTTTATTCTTTTCAAAGGAAAATTAGCTGAGAGAATCCTTTTCTTCTATTTTTTTTCTTAAAACCTCATATTGATCAGGTAATCCTTTTGATGCCTGAGTTAACACGTGT